TTTTTTTTTTTTTTTTATAGAGGCATGCTTTATTTATTTGTTTGCTGGTTTCTTTGTTTGTTTTGTTTATACATGCACTGGGTACAGTCAGAAGCGCGGGAGGGAGAGAGAATTCATCAGAGCCAGAGCGGGGAGCAGAACAGGCAGAAGGACTGAAGCACACTGCTGAGGGGAGCAGCGGGCAGCAGGAGAGGTCTGCGTGCCATGTGGGACCCTCCTCCGGTGGCCGGGGAGCAGCCGGGGATCGAACCGGCGCCGCAGAGGCCGCGGGCAGCTTCGCAACCCAGCGCTCAACCGCTGCGCCACCGGGGAGGCCCGATAATCAGTGAGTTTTTGATATGAACATTCAATTTGCTATACTTCCTGCCCCCCTCCCTACTCTGTCCCCACCCCCACACCGCCACACACACCCCCTAAAATTCAAAATCACCCAAATATAGGGAATCCTTATTTTGGGAATACTTTTGTTTCATTTCATCCAGACTGAAAACAAATTTGAAATTCATTTAACCTTGTTCTGCACTGGAACACTATGATTTTAGAAGCCCAGACTTAAAAAGAGGAAGTTTCTGAAGTGAAAATAAAAACCAAGTTTATTTTTCCTTTTTCTTAGCTATATATATGCATAGTAATGTAGTAACATAAAGGAAAATCTCACCCATGATCTTACTATCTCAACACAACAATTTTTCAGTGTATTTATTCCTCTGCTTTTATTCCACTGGCATTGTCCTTATATTTTATGGTAGTATAATCATTGATATGTTTCTTTTGGGTATTACAATGAATACTTTTAACAAGTTTAATTATCATACTTGATTATCTCATGTCTCTCTTCCACCTGCCCATTCTATTTTCAGATGGTGGAACTAGAAGACTTGGGGAGTCCATACTTCCATACTCCAAGAGTTAGGGAAAATAAAAAAGCAAAATGTCAAATGTTGAGGTTACACAGATTTTTTTCACTTTATCAGTTTTAACTCACACAATTTGAGATTGTTTAAGCACAAGCACAAATTGTATCTAAGATTCATAATTAAAAATGCTAATTAGAAGTTGTGATTTGTAGTCTATGAATCCATCATACTTCGACTGGAAGTGCCTTATGTGGTAATTCGGGGGTGGGGGTTTCGGTGGGAATTCTACTCTTAATCAAATGTAAAGTCGCCGATTTGCATTTTTATCAGCAGATATAAAATAGCACAAATTTCTTACATATAGCATTTCCTCCTGTTTTTCTAATATAAGGACTCATTTCTTTAAGCACAGTAAAGTTTTAAAAATATATTTATATGCAAGTTCAGTATATGGACTATAAGAAAAAATAGAGTAAAATAATTTCAAGTCAATCTGGCTTCTAACAAAAGAACCAGTTAAAAACTCTATGCTTTATTTCCTGTTTCCTTTTTTTTTTTTTTTACACTTCAGTGTCAAATGGCCACTTCCAGGCTAGTGGCATTCACTTCACTTCCTTCCCTAGTAACACTCATTTATCTAGTTGGTCAGAAGCATAATTCAGAGGTGCAGGAAGACGAACGTCTCCTCTCTCCATTCTGCAAATTATAACTCAAAACATAATTCCAAGTATCATATGCAGAAGTTGTACTTTTGGCTCCTGGGTATCTGGGATGGGGGGGGGGATACATCATTAGAATACAACGTGCTATCAAAGTTATATGTTGTTTTAAAACAAAACAACAAAGAGCCCAGTCATCACCAGTTTGTAAAAACTGCTTCCTATTTTTTTCAATGTCATTGTTTAATCTTGGTATAATCTGTAGGACATGTGTTGCTGAAATACACTTGTTTATGGAATTAACAGTCTCAGGTTTTCAACACAAATTGCTTCTACTGAATCCAGTAAAATGGATTAGTGTTAAATACTCAGATGTACAAATCATCAGTTCGAGAAGTGTGAAAGGCACAATCCACTAATTTACTTTTCAATTAATCAGGTGGCAAGGAGGAATCTGGGACCATTTAAAAAACTGAAAATTCTATCTAATGCTGGAAAACAAATAATTTTATGCCATATTATAGTTTAAAGGATCATTATCCTTTAATATCATTAACCTATGATATTATCCTATCATACATTTGGTGAAGACAGTGGGAGATAGCACCACCATTGACAGTAAAACTGCAGATCTCAGATTTGTTTTCTCACTTATAAAATGAAGGGATTATGAAGTTTGAGTTTATCTGGCTTTCCATACTTGTTCCTGAGAAGCTAAAAGTTTTGTTATATAGACTAAACACACCAAACATATCTTATTCAAGCAACAATGGATGTTGAAAATTTTTAAAATCAATGTTTACTTATAAAGCTTTCTTAATGTGAGCAATACCTTGTACGAACATAAAAATCACAAAGTAAAAACCTAGTGGTATTATAACTAGTGATTTTTTTTTTTTAAGTAGTGATATTCTTAAGGGATACATATAATTGGTAAATTCGAGTAAGTTACGTCTGAAATAGCATAAAGATATGTACTGTGCTGTTTCCCCAGGATTGGTGCTGTCATCCAATTTACATGAAAAGCTGAGTGAGGTGGACCATGTGTATCCTGCTAGCAAGTCAAATATCAAAATAAGTATCTGAGGCTACTCTAGCCAAAGTTAAAATTGGTATGAGTCATTACAGAGTGCGGGTGAGAAAGTTTCATATTACACTGGAAATGCAAGGGATTATATTAATCAGGGCCATCTTTTTTATTTTCAATGAGGGAGCTATGGTCCAGAGAAAAGATTTCCCCAAGATCACAGATCTAATTACTGTCAGTTAAAGAGAGCCTGGTTCTGATTGACAATGCTACATCATTGTCTTTTATTTTTTTTAACTTTTTTTTTTTTTTTTAAGATTGATTTATTTGTTTATACAAGCACTGGGTACAGTCAGAAGCGTGGGAGGGTGAGAGGATTCACCAGAGCCAGAGCGAGGAGCAGAGCAGGCAGAAGGACCGAAGTACACCTCTGAGGGAGCAGTGGGCGCAGCAGAAGAGGTCTGCATGCCATGCGGGACCCTCGCCTGGCGGCCGGGGATCGAACCAGTGCTGCAGAGGCTGCGGGTAGCTTCGCAGCCCAGCGCTCAACCGCTGCGCCACCGGGGAGGCCCTACATCAGTCTTTTAGATGCCACGGTCAAGCAATGCTTCAGGTAGGTAGAAACGAATGTAATATACAGGCTGTTTCCTATTCAAAAGGTTTGATTTATTGGACTTCACACTGGTACAAAAGTGATGGGCATTCAGTAGAAAACACTGTTCCATACTCTCCTGTGATGCAGAGCAGTGAGCAGTAGTGCCCAGTCAGCATTTTTGACTTGCAACATTTTCAATTTATGATGGTTTTATCCTGATGTAATCCACTGTAAAGAAATTTAGGAAGATCTGTAGATCTTAAAGGAAGCTTATATATGACCCCCCCCTAGTTCAGCCTCTCATTTAAATCCAGACTTTTTGTTGCACTTGTAACTGATGTCAATCATTTTACTGCTCTGTGCTTAGGAGGCAATCCCTTTCCTGATGGACAAATAACCATAAAGTTCTTAACACTGAGCTCAAATTTGTCAACTGGCATTTTTTAAAATTCCTTGCTATTGCATTTTATTTAATATATATTTTTTTTTTTTAATAGAGGCATGTTTTATTTATTTATTTATTTGTTTGTTTGTTTATACAAGCACTGGGTACAGTCAGAAGAGCGGGAGGGTGAGAGAATTCACCAGAGCCAGAGGGGGAGCAGAGCAGGCAGAAGGACCGAAGTACACTGCTGAGGGGAGCAGCGGGCGGCAGGAGAGGTCTGCGGGCCATGCGGGACCCTCCTCCGGTGGTCGGGGAGCAGCCGGGGATCGAACCGGAGTCGCAGAGGCTGTGGGCAGCTTCGCAACCCAGCGCTCAACCACTGCGCCACCAGGGAGGCCCTTATTTAATATATTTTTACATCATTTTTCATTTTTGTACAATTTGCAGTTTTCACCTGTGCCTGCTTTTAGAGTCAAAAAGAATGAATCGTAACTGCTTCTTAATGCTTGAAGATAGCTATTATTCCTTATTCTCATAGTCCGTCTATTAATAAGTCTTTGGGTTCTAATTTATGGAGTCTTTCTTAGCAAAGCACCATAGAATTTGGCGTAATTTGTAAACATCCTTTCACTGGATCTTGAAATTGATATTACACATACAGTCTGACCAGTACATTGTATATGAGATTATTTCTCTGATCAATTTTTCAGTGTCGGTTTCCAAAGGGATGCCACGCATTATCTCAAGCAAGCTAAAATCTCCAGGTATTTATTTATAAACTCTTGACAAATGGAGTTTTATATTTCTATCAAACGCTTTCTATTGTTTGTAGGATAATTATCAGAGTCCATGATTTCGCCCAACTAGACTGATAGTTAACAAACCAATAATAATAACCAGCCTCATGCCTATGCCATCCTTTCCTTTTGACGTTATGTCCAGTCTTCTTACAGTTCAGATGCAAGTTTCCACATACTGTTCCCCTCCATAAGGAGTATTTCCCTTGGGTCACTAAAGTCTAGACATTGCTTAATAATCCTTCAAAGCTCAGTTCAAATACCACTTCTTCCAGAGATTCTTTCTTGCCTTTCCTCCTGATGGTCCCTTCCCAAAAGTACATTTTACCTGTTGTAACACCCTACAAATCTCCTTTAGCCCTTATCCAAATATTAACACTTACACAATGAGATGTCTGTTCTCGCCAGCCACAACGAAAAGTTTATGAGGACACGGTCTGTGTCTATCTTTACCTGGAATAGCGTTTTACCTGATTCAGACATTCAGTAAATATTTGTTGAATGAATGAAATAATAATGAATTAGTATGACCAGTATTTCAATTTTCCCAGAAAATCAAACAAAAACACTTAACTGAACCCTGGGTTGTATGTTGTGTGAAGAGGGAACTGTACACCAACCAAGAAAATTTTCAGAAGGAAAAGCTTTTCCAGAAGAAAGTGATGACAAAATTTACAAAAATATAGAACTACAGTCTATGAAGATGAATGATTTTTTTTTTCCACTATGGGGGTCCGAGGAAGCATGGAAGAAGGCAAACAAGCACAGCTGAGTGGTATATTTGTTGTTTTTACTGTTAATTTGACACATCTGAACCAAAGCATTCACAATACTTGATATACTTTGAAGAGAATCATATACTATAGTCTTAGACATAACCACAGAACAAGCAGAACAATTAAAACTACATAAGGCCTTAAAATATATCCACAGTGTGTATTATTTCAATATTCATTCATTTACAAATTAGGCTACATACCATTAATTTTATTTTTTATTTTTCTTTCATTGTTTTATTCAGGCAGGATTCATTCACGGAAAGGCAACTTAGTTTTTGTGTGTGATCTTTATTTTTTACTACAATGGTTAATATGAAAGTTAGGAATTAAATGTTTTCTTATTTCCTGCATCCAGGAGCGAATCCCTGGAATTCTCAGATAGTCATCCAAAACAGTAAGATCCTATTCTTAAAAATATCCAGTGAAAAGGGACCAGAGCGCCAGTCTGCCTGTGGTATTGAAGAACATCTAACGGGCTGTCAGGTTTTCTTATAGCGAAGAGCACTATAATTCTACGAGATTAAGTCAAAATTTAAAACAACATTGCATACAAATCATTCTTGAAGCTCTAAATTCCATTTAAATAACTAAAATGAAAACTTTAAGTAGTTGCCTCACAGTACCAAACTTAAAAGTCAAAACTAGTCCAAATTCAGTGCTGCTATGACTTTTCATTTACAACACAACTAGTTGGTAAATTAACAGATGGCATAAAAATTAAGGCTGACATCATTTTTTAAAAGGATAGAATGTATGATAACCAGAGAATACAGAAAATTCAATGTATTTTACAATAAAATAACCACTTAAACCTCTATCCCTGTACAACAGGGTTTAGGTCATATCTAGTGAATGTGTATGTTTTTATACAGTGTATTCTGTTATGAGTACTTGAATTATTTTAGATATACAGCTTTTTATTGAAAGAATATTACATTTGTATACCAGGATAAAGATTTAGTACACTGAGATGTTTTAAAAATATTTATAAATTTGTTTCTGATATGCAAAAGCATTTGGCAATACTTTTACAGCATTTGATTTTATAGAATTAAAATTTTATACAGTACTCATCTTGATGTTTAAAAAAAAATTCACAGAAAAAATATAAATTACACAGCTTGACTGCATGATACTGTTATTTCCAGTTTCTAGTTCTGGTAATTAAAACCTTCATTAAGTCTGTTAACAAATCATTACCTGTACATTTATGAAGGCAACTGACATGATTTGCAAACAAAACCTTCAGGTTTTATGTTATTTACCACAGAGTGCAGTTCAGCAAGAAAAGAAAACCCAGTTTGCAAATTTACAGACTATTTTACAAATTTACCAGTTCCTGTGACACAAACTGTTTCAACCTTTCAAGGTACTGTCCATAAAGTTCCACATCATTGTGACCTGCCCCTTCAACCCACAGAGGCTCCACAGGTCTTTGGCAACGCTCAAATAATGCGAGGCCATGTGAAAAGTCAATGACTTCATCTTCAGTCCCATGAATTATTAATACTGGAGAGGTTATCTTAGATATTTTGTCAATGCTGTAGGGGAAAAGGAGGGGCAAAACATCAATAAATTAACTATGAAAAGGAACACAGAAGAAAATTTCTTGTGCTATATGACAGATAATTCAAATATCAGAACTGTCTGAATCAATTCAGAAGGAATGGATGACTACTGAATTGCAAATAAGGTTCAAGTCATTTTTACACACAACTCTAAGATTTTCTGAGGAAGTAGACTTTATGCACTTTCCCCTCCCCACAATTTTTGCGTAGAATTGGGGTGTCATAGGCCAGAGGTGCAGGGGGTGAGAGGATTTACCAGAGACAGAGTGGGGAGCAGAACAGGCAGATCTACTGAAATATACTGCTAAGGGGAGCATTGGGGAGACAGGAGAGGTCTGTTGCACCTTGTGGGTTAGCTGCCTGGCCAGAGATTGAACTCAGGCCAATAGCACTAAGACTTAACCCCGAGGCCACCAGGGAGGCCTAAATTTCATGCACTTCTGTTTTGAGAGTCATTCAACAACTACTGTCACCCTCCGGTACTTTTCTACAGTAATGATTTTTGGAACGGAGGAACAGGTTTTAAGGAAGAGGAGAAACTCAGAGCCATTTCAAATATGTGCTAACCTCAAATTTCTCTGCACTCACGACATTTCTCCTTTCTCATAATCTACTAAGATGATGCAAAATGTTTTTTCTTTTAGAATACTAAAACAAAAATAGCGATTGTGTAATTAAACATAACATTTTGGAGCTAGGCAGATAGATGAATGTAAATGAAATAAGATTGAAAATATAGGTGAAAACACAATTTTAAGAGGCTCAAAGGCTACCCAGAGATTAGGGGCTGACATGCGGATAAGGGCAGTTGACTGGAATCTTTACAATTTGTTCCAAGTCTGTTCAAGAAATAATTATGTACATTTCTCCCAGGTTCTTTCCTCTTCTTTATGTAAGAGGGTAAAGTGCCCCCTCTCTAAGAGGCTAGGGATTGTCAAGACAGTTTAGGGCAGAGGAAGCAGAGACCCCAAAAATATACATACTGGCTGCTGTGAACCAACTTTCCCTTCCTGGCTTCTAGAATGCTGGCAGTCAGGCCTTCAATCTCCAAGAAGTTTTAGAAAGAGCCTTTTGCAGACTCCCTCCCTCTTCAGAGGGAAAATATTGACATATTTGAGTCAACTAACTGGCTCAATTAGATCACTCTATAGTGAATCTCATGGTAAAAAAACAAACTTTATCACCTACTTCAGATCAGTTCCTTAGTCCCTCCCTGTTAAATATGAGCAGACAATGAAAAATTAATCAGTTATCAGGATACTTATAAGCAGACAGATTAAGACAATTTTAAAAGACAACTTGCAGACATAAGCCATACAGAGGAGAAATTTTACAAATAACTGATAAAATCCTCAGAGATACAGACATAAGGCATTATAACAGAAAATAAGGATAGATCCTTGAAAAGGAGGAAATCATCAATGAAATTCAAGGCTCTATTTAGTAAGAAAAATATGCTTTGGTTCACTGCTTGCTGGCAAATATTCAATAGTAGAGGAATTAAAATAAAAAATAAAAAGAAATGCATGCTTTTTATCAAATGGTTTACTGTTAGTATTGTTTTCTGTGGGTGCACCAGAAATGAAGGAGGAGCCAGACAAACAGAAGTTGGCAATAACAATTACTCTAAGTATCTCCGTATCATTTCTACTACTCATTTAGACAAAAGCACAATAAAGCATCTAACTTCCAATCTACCATTACTTAAAACAAAAACAAACCCAAAGTAAATGTAAAAACCAAAAATTTCCCAAAACTTATTGTGGTGATAGAATAATATCCTCCCAAAAGTTCCCTATGAAAGTGACCCCTCACTAATGATGAAAAAATTTGTTTTTGAGATTACTCTTACTGTTATTAGAGTGAATCAAAAGATGACTTGGTATTTGGCCCATCTAGCATTTACAAAAAAATCCTTGTATTTCCTGCCATATCCCTTTCTTTAAGAAGAACAGCCATCACTTTTTTCCAACTACGAGCAGAAAATGGTAGTAATTATCAAAATCTGTTTCGAGTATCAAGGTAAATACAGCTCTTCTTTCAAAACTGTCTAATACTGTATGTAGACTTTGTGGTTGCAATACTTAACTCTAGTTAAGATTCAACTCCTTTACAATTGACTTTTTTTGTAAAACAGGTTATGAATAGACACCATTCACCCACTTTTATGCACATTTGTCTTGTTTTCCCCCTACTTGTTCCTCTCTTCCATTTTTATGTGTCTCACTAAATGTGCCATTAGCCAGTAGCAGCTCAAATTACAATTCTGGAAATTATGTTCTAGTTCTCTATTTAGCTTCTCTTATCCAGCCTTATATACAGTTCACTCAATTTTATTTCCCCAATTTATTCTCTTGTCTCCACTACTACTGTCACTATCTGGGGTGTAAGATCTCACAACACTATTCAACTGGATTACTACTACTCAAACATTTCAGCTTCCTGACTAGTCCTGCCACCACACTCTTCATGAACTAAAAATTTTCAGTTTTATACTATATGTAAAACAGAAGCTCGTGTTTGAATTATACTACAACTACCTTAAGTGTGAAAAACAATTTCCATAAAAATTTAAACTACTTTGAAAACTGATACTTACTTTGGGAATGCATCAAAACAGTAGGTCTTCTTGGTATCAGGAAAAGCAACTCTCATTCCCGAGGTCAAAGGAGAATGAAGAATAACAGCAGCACTCTCATACCGAGCAGCAAGATCCACAGATGGTACTGTCCCTATACTTTGGCCATATATAATCACATTTTCAGGACGAATGCCATACCTACAAAGTTCAAAAGTGTTACAACGAAACACAGTTGGAAAGTTAGACAGGTATGAAATGATTAACCATTCCTAGGGACTTCATCTTATAACAGAATGACCTAGAATAACACAATGTCAGCAAGTAGATATTTTAAATTTCTTGGTCATCACTGTCATACTTGATGATACATTAAGATCTGTATTCTTAGCTTTATTATTATTTCCTCTACCTCAATTTCATCTTTGGAAGAATAAGTGCTGATGCCTGTTAAAATTTCAATCTAAATCAAATCCTTTAAGCATATTGTTGATTAAATTTGGAACACTATCTATCAATATTTTAACAGATTGCTGTTTAATGGATATTTAGTAGTTTATTTCCCATTTAATGTAACAAAAATTCTTTATTTCACTAGACAAGTGACTCATTTTATTTTTGCAGTTAGTCATAGTGATAAAAATGCTACATATGGAATATGAATACGGTATATGTATCACTGTAGCCAAGAGGGAAATAACTAGTTTTCTTGAAATTCGCTTTCACTTACTCTTCGAAATGAACAATAGAAATGAGAATTCCAAATGTCATCTGGTTTAATTACTTGTGAACAGACTTCACGCTAAAGTTCCAAGCATTGTTTTACTTTTCCAAAATGCTACTACAGATTTAAAAATGTGAACTCAGATGCAATATTGTGTATTTCATACATTCAAGGCCTGTTGATTGTCCAGTACAATTTTCCCAACTGTGAACTACTGTTTAAGTGAGGTGCTATAGAAGCTAATGAATCAATGTAGGGTTAAGGGTCAGAGTGACATCAGATATGCCTTTCTGACTAAGTCTCCTCTGCGCAAATTTCTAGTCTTCTGAAAAGGTAAAGAGCTGCCCAAGTAGCCAAAGATGCACCAGGAAAGAACAATACAAAACCCTTTTCCTCTTTACTCAGGGGCACAGGACATCTTGAACTGTCCAAATAGCAACATTCTCCTCTTTCCTCCCCAAAGTTTTATTCCAATCAGTACTACACAAATCTTAGGCTATACCCCAAAGACTGGGTTCCATTTATTCAAGTAATAGACTGCCTTTAAAATATCAGTAGTCCTCCCTGGTGGCACAAGGGGTTAAGTCACAGCACTATGAAGCTATATATAGGCAGCCATTGCAGAAAGAGTTTGATCCCTGGTCAGGGAGCTACCCACATGGCGCAGCAGACCTCTCCTGCCTCGCCCACTACTCCCCTGAGCAGTGTATTTCAGTAGATCTGCCTGTTTTGCGGCCCACTCTGTCTTTGGTGAATCCTCTCATCCCCCAACACCTCTGGCCTACACCCTAGCTCTTGTATGTGTAAATAAATAAAAATAAAATACTCAAATATCAGTAAACACAGAAAGTTTTTCTTTATAATAGACCTATTAGCACATGCTTCACAGGAATGAATTAGGGTTTTGGGCTAAGGCTAGCAAATGGCAAGGCTCCAGAGTAGCAGAGGCAGCTGCCAACTTAGCAGAAGAGGAATCAAAGCAGTAATAGAATTTCAGAATAGTATGAGTTAGAAAGGACTTTAGAAAGCATTCTAATCTAGTCCAGCTGCTTACTGAACAGATGTTCAAAGTCAGTGTAAGTTTGTGACAAACCTATAATTAGAACCCCAGGCATGCTGACTCCTAGTCTAGTACTTTTTCCATTACAGCACATAAATAATGAGCTTAAAGACTGTGAGGGAAGGATGCATAGTAAACATAAGTTTCTTATTTTTTGTTGACCCATAAGAAGTTCAGAAATTTTGCTTATTATAGATATTCAAATATCCTGGCAACGGGATCATTCCAATAATGTTTAAGTTCATTTCTCCCTTCATGGTTATGTAAGTCTTAACTTTTTCTTTAAGTGAAAAATATGAAAAGCATGAATTTTAACAGTACACATTTTATTGGATGACAGAATTATGTAATGTAACTGGAAAGACTCCAACTCTTAGAAATCATGTAACTCAACTTTTTCATTAAACATGAGGAAACAGGTCAAGAAAGTTTGATTTCCTAAGACTACTTATATTGTAGTAAACTGTTCCAAACATATTTAGGGTTCAACACTGAGAGAAAATATAGCCTGAAATTCTATGCTAAAAACAGGATGTGGGGCCTCCCCTGGTGGCGCAGCGGTTGAGCGCTGGTTTGCGAAGCTGCCCCTCAGCCTCTGCAGCGCTGGTTCGATCCCCGGCCACCGGTGAGGGTCCCACATGGCGTGCAGACCTCTCCTGCCATGCCCGCTGCTCCCCTCAGCAGTGTATTTCTTTGTCAGTCTGCCTGTTCTGTTCCCTGCTCTGGCTATGGTGAGTTCTCTCACCCTCCCGCGCTTCTGACTATACCCAGTGCTTGTATAAATAAATAAATCTTAAAAAAAAAAAACAAAAAAAACCGTATGTGGAACTATTTAGGAATTTATCTACTCTTGCCTTTGATCCACATTCACCATGGTCATCAAATTTGTTTAAAAGAATCAATTAAGACTAGATATCTTAAAGTATCATACTTTCCTTACATTTATTGTACTATATCAGCTAGCTAACTCTAAAAAGGCACTCATTTTGTTTGTTTGATGGTCTGAGAGGACTGATAACACTATACCTTAAGCAGATTTTATATCAGAGAGCATAGTTTAAATTACCTATTGTGGTTCTAAAAAAAGGTTACACTCACTAACAAAAGTTCTCCTTAACTAACTGAAACCATTAATATTTAAACATTAGATTAAGAACAGTGAGTTTTCTTTATGTACTGTAGATTTATTCTAAAATACTCTGAAGTCAGGCAGTTTACCAATATATAGCATAATAACTAACTTGCAGTACTAAGGTAACTACTACACACTGTCTGATGAGAAAATATACTTGAATCTATAAAACTGCAGTTTTTAAGAAAAGATAAAATTATTTTGGTGACTAGAAAAAATTATTTTGGTGACTAAAGCAATTTCTAATACCCTAAATGTATTATGTTGTATTCAAGGAATAACTGACACAGAAAGAGAATTTACTTAAATGACATTAACATCCCTGGTTTTTCTCACTTCATCTTTCCAAATTGAGTCCAGAATGCAAAGTAAAATCTTACTTATACGGAATGAACACTTAAAAATAGTTCCAATGTGGTATCTTAAGTCACACCATATAGGAGATAATGATATAAAATAATGCAAACTCTGGCTTGGGATTTAAACAAAAAACAATCCAGCCTCTTATACTGTTAATGACAGATCAAATGAATGATTATTAGCTAAATCAGTTCCTCTCATCTCCCTGAAATGTGTCAGCTTCAAATAAAGATTTTTATATCACACTCGTCTAAGAAAGTTTATAAAAGTTGTTATTGGTTAAAATTTTTAAGAAAACCACATATACACTAATGCACACAAATGTGAATTGTCTTAAAAAAGGTTTCTTGGTATTTTACGAAATTTGAAATTACAATCTAAAAGTTTCTCTTCATCGATACATATTGATAAATAATCTGTATTTAGTAATTCATGATATGTTAAAACAGCTTTTATCCTATTCTTATACAAGACCATATTAATTAACTACCATACACGTACTAAACAATATCCAGTCACAATTTACCTTGTTCTAAGAGCAAGCCAAGCAGCTTCTATGTCCGCATAGAGGTTCTTCTCTGTTGGTTTCCCAGAACTTGCACCATATCCAGAATAATCATATGAGAATATATTACAATTAATCCGTGATCCCAGTCCTATGTAAAAGCTGCTCATCTGACCAAGATCAACAGCATTTCCATGTGAGAAAAGTAAAGTGTATTTGGCATTGGGTGAGCAACGCACAAACATGCAGGCAATTCTGTTGCCTTTACTGGTTCTAGTCATGAAACACTCAATAGCATCTTTTTCTCTAGAAGAGTATTGCCAGTCTGCTCGTTCTGACAGGTGTAAAGTCCAGCGGCTTCCACTTTCATCACACATCAGCGTGTAGGTTGGATCAGGTGGCAAAAATGCTAATTTTGAAGCAATTTTCCCTGGGCAAGGTGGACAGCAGAACAGACAGCATAGCTCACTAAAAGAAAGGTTATTCATTTTCTGAAAAAGAAAAAGGGATAGAGTAAATATTTTAATCACTGAATATGGATTCTGCAGTCTCACAGAACAAAAGATTAAAACAAAGACAGTGGTAAATCCTACAGATGGTCAGTGTCCACTATTATTATTTCAAGCGTCCCACACAGACTTTAGGTCTCAAAAGAAAAAACTTCAGTTCTGACCAGGAAGCATATTTCAATATTCTATGGTATGTTTCAAGTAGTAGTGATTAAATCTCATAATATTTAAGCGAAACATAACAGTACTAAGTAGAGGTAATATTTGCCATGAAAACAACTAGGAGGTATGTAATATCTTTAATGTAGCCTGTAATTTCTGAGTAAATGAAAGAAAATTCTCATGGAAAAGTTTGGGATTTAATATGATGTTATCGGGCACTGTGCTAAGTATCCTATGCCTATTACAATGTTTAATTCTTGGAACCCTGTTACGTCTGAGAAAAGAAATTTGCACAATGTGAGGTGGTAGTGGGCCTCCCTGGTGGGCAAGGGGTTAAGCACCGCGCTGTGAAGCAATCCGCAGCTTCCACTCGAGTTTGATCCCTGGCCAGCCAGAGAGAAACCCACATGGCAAGCGGACTGCTCCCCTCAGCCGTGTATTTCATCAGCCTGCCTGTTCTGTTCCCCACTGTGTCTCTGGTGAATCCTCTCACTCCCCGCATCTCTGGCCTGTACCCCAGCTCTTGTGTGCGTAAATAAATAAATCTTTTAAAAAATAAATAATGCTGCAATAAATATTCTAAAACATGTAATTAAAAAAAAAAGTGAGGTGGTAGAGCCAGGATTTGACATCAAGTTCAGTTTGTCCCCCATTACTGAATGGGCTGCACTGCCTCAGGAGCCCAGAACACTATTTGTTTCAGAAGCCTAATATTTTAGCCATAGTGCCAGTGGCCCAAATAATCTATTAAAGATAAATTATATGTATGTAATTATTGCACACATTTAAAAGATTATATATAATGTAAAGTAATTATGGAAAGAGGTAAAATCTGCAAAATGCATAATTTCTTAAATATTTATATGAGCTTAATGTCTGAAGTCAGAGAGAACAATCTTTTTGAACCTCCTTTTTTTCATAAGCAAAGGAGGCCAAAGGCAACAGTGAACAACAGAGTGGTTGTGAAGAACAAAACATAATGATGTAGTTAAGACATACAATAAAGTAATGGTCAAATCATAGGCACACTCAAGATTAGTCCACATTCTCCTATGTTTTTTACATTAATATTTTAAAAGTATCCAGCTCATATTAATTCAGGAACTAAAATAAAGTAATACTTTTTTTCTCTAGCAGCATTTTCTTCATCTTAACCTTTCTCACATTCCACCCTCTTTTAGCAGAAGTAGACTATTGCTTAGTCTCTAGATGGAAGCATTCAAAACAAGCACCTTTCCAGAGACTAGGGGTACCTCATTTTTTTTCTACTTTTGTTTTGAGAATAAAATATCCTTTGTTAATTAGGAGTATTAAGTGGAAAAATAGCCCATTAGTGATGGCACCTAATTTCCTTCAAAATTTCTAACTACAAAAATAGGGGGAAAAACACCCAAATTTTTAAATCAAAATGAAAAATGCATTACTTTTCTAGTGTAAACTAATAGGTAGAATAAGCTGAAACTGCACAGATAGAGAAGCAAGTGTTGGAGTGACATAAATACTAAAAGATGAGTAAGGGAAAGAACAGAAAAGTGTCTTTTGGATATTGGGAAATACCTTCTTCTTTTTCTTTTTTTAAGATTTATTTATTTTTATACAAGAACCGGGATACAGACCAAATACGCGGGAGGGTGAGAGGATTCACCAGAGACAGAGCGGGGAACAGAACAGGCAGACTTATGAAATACACTGCTGAGGGGAGCAGCAGGCAAGACAGGAGAGGTCTGCTTTGCCATGTGGGATTCTCGCCAGCCCGCCGGGATCAAACCAGCACTGCAGAGGCTGCAGACAGCTTCACATTGCAGCGCTCAATAGCCTGCGCCACCAGAGAGGCACGGGATATAGCTTCGTTATTTGCTATTCTACCTTTATTTCTTTCTATCTATCTATCTATCTATCTATCATCTATCTATCTATCTATCTATCTATCTATCTATCTATCTATCTATCTATCTATCTATCTTTAAAGATTTATCTATTTATTTATTTATTTATACAAGCACTGGGTACAGTCAGAAGCGCAGGAGGGTGAGAGAATTCACCAGAGCCAGAGGGGAGAGCAGAGCAGGCAGACTGACAAAATACACTGCTGAGGGGAGCAGAGGACGTGGCAGGAGAGGTCTGCAGGCCATGTGGGACCCTCGCCTGGTGGTGGCCGGGGATCAAACCCGCGCTGCAGAGGCACTCAACCGCTGCGCCACCGGGGAGGATCCTTTATTTCTTTTTAGTCCTCAAAACAAATATAGCCTGAATAAGTTAAAAGTTTTAGTATGATTTGAACAAGAGTCACATAAAACCGAAATGACAACAAGGAGTCATCTCGAATAGTAACTCTAATTGGCTTCCTGGAGTATGGTACTGAGAAGTTTCTGAGAGAGCTGGGATTGGCAGGCAAAGAATGTGTGATAAATTAGTGATGCCCACTACAGAATGTTGCTACAAATGTACTATACTGCTTAGGGGAATAAATGACCTGGTGAAAAAGATGGCAGGAAGGGAGTTCAAAGGGTCAATTCCAGAGGAGGAGACAAGCTGGAAAAAGATGAGGTAAAGGTAAAATACATCAATGCTATCTGTTGTCTATGGTTATTTCTCGACCCTGATTACCTTACATGCCATCAACTGCTGACCTACAACAGCCTATTAAAAGCTTGATTAATAAGTAAGCTGTATATGCCTAGACCATGGTCCCTGTAATTTGCCTCTTATAAACATGAAGACTTCTACACACTATAATAAAGTAATTTTGAAATAAATCTGGCTGACTGAACACATAATGCTGCAGGGATGCTTCTTGGGATGAACCCAAAGGAGAGAAGTAGACAGGAGAAAAGCTGCAGTGTCAGAATCTAGACTAATGAAAAGACAACCTGCCCTTCTCAATGGTGGTAGAAGAAATTATTCCCACCTTGATGGCCATGAACCCAGTTAAGTTATTCCCTTTTTTCATGCAGATGCAAAATTTTCACAATAAACAGTATAAGTAAAACAGTTAAATAAGCCTAATTTTATTATGCTCAAAGCTGAGAAAATTACTCAATGAAAAAGCGTTTTATTCTTGGGGCCTCCCTGGCAGCACAGGGGCTAAAGCCAGTGCTTTGACGCTATAGCCAGCCACTGTCCTGCTGCTCCCTGCAGCAGTGTATTTCAGTACATCTGCCTGTTCTGCTCCTACTCTCTGGTGAATGCTCAGATCCAACGTACCTTTGGCTTACACCCCAGTTCTTGTATGCATAAATAAATTTTTTTTAAAAAAAGGCATTTTATTCTTGATAAACATTTAAAAATCATGGAAAAATCTTGTTAAATTTAGGTGATACTGTCTAATTTGTTTTATGTAATAGCTAAACCGAAAAAAAAAAAAAAAAAAGGTTTACTAGCTATTTCTTGGTAACGAAACTGTGAAAAGGCTGTGACTAAGCCTAGGAGGAAAATGATGGACATCTTGTAGTATACAAAAGCCACACAAGGCAGAAACAAAAAAATTAGTAATTTAGAGCAGAACCTGTGGACCCATGAAATAAGAATTTAAATTATGTTATAATAATAAACATCTGAGAGAGTGAGAGAGAGGGTAAGAGAACACACAAAAGCAAGCATTTAAAAAAGTGTCATAAAGAGGGCCTCCCTGGTGGCACAGGGGTTAAGCACCGCACTATGAAGCAATCTGCAGCCTCTTCGGCAGGAGTTCGATCCCTGGCCAGCCAAGGTGCAACCCACATGGCGCAGCACACCTCTCCTGACTTGCCCAATGCTCCCCTCAACAGTGTACTTTGGTCAATCTGCCTGTTCTTTTCCCCACTCTGTCTCTGGTGAATCCTCTCACCCCCTCATCTCTGGCCTGTACTCTAGCTCTTGTATGCATAAATAAATCTTTCAAAAAAAAAAAAAAAAGTGTCACAAAGAAAAATATTACAGGAAATTCTGGCATTAAAAAAATCAGTATTAGAAATAAAGAATTAAACTGATAAGTTGAGTATAAAAATCCATAATAGCTGGACAATATGTTAGTGAGCTAGAAGGTCTGGTTGAATAATCCCAAATACTGACTCTTTTGGGGGTGGGGGATGGTAGAGATGAGATAGAAAATAAAAGAGAAAATTTAGGAGGGATAGAAATATCAATTTCAACATTATAGAGGTTTCATTAAAAAAACGAGAGAGAGAAAAGACAAACTCAAAATTTCTAAGAGTACACATAAAATACAAAATGACAAGATTGACGTAGATAAGAATGACAAATTTTCTTTTTTTTTTTTTTTTTTAATAGAGGCATGTTTTTCTTTATTTATTTGTTTGCTTGTTTGTTTGTTTTGTTTATACATGCACTGGGTACAGTCAGAAGCGCGGGAGGGTGAGAGAATTCACCAGAGCCAGAGCGGGGAGCAGAGCAGGCAGAAGGACCGAAGTACACTGCTGAGGGGAGCAGTGGGCGGCAGGAGAGGTCTGCGCGCCATGTGGGACCCTCCTCCGGTGGCCGGGGAGCAGCCGGGGATTGAACCGGCGCCGCAGAGGCCGCGGGCAGCTTCGCAACCCAGCGCTCTACCGCTGCGCCACCGGGGAGGCCCAGAATGACAAATTTTCAATGTTAAACCCAAGTACTTCACCATATTAATGGACTAAAGGAGAAAAATCACTTAGCTTTTTCAATAGATACATGGAGACAAAGTTCACACATCATACGATCACTTAGAGTGCCACAGCAATTCACACAGAAAATAATAATCTTTTTAGTGTATGGTGCTAGACAGTTTGATATTCACACACAAATTATACCCCTAATGTCACATCATATGTCAATTAAAAAAATCAAAGACAAAA